CCCCCCTCTTCCCGGCCCCCCGCCTCCTCCCTGCCGCCATCCAGATACCCATTCTCGTGACTTATTTTTGACATTACGAATTGTTTTTTTATTGTCAGAAAAATTTGACTGGTGGATATGTGTTGTGCTGCTGGTTTCTTCATTAAGCGAACGCTAATTTTCAGGTTTGCAAGGTGCGGTTCGTGGTATCGGTGGGCCCGGAATGGGAATGATGCAGCCGCAGCCGATGCCTGGTCCTCCGCCACCAGCATTCGTCGTTCCCCAAGTATTCGTGCCACCTCCACGGGGGCCAATGTACCCGCCACCTCGTTGATTTTGGAAAATTTGTTCATTGGCATTAATATTTCTTGAATTTGTGTTTGTTCCTTTTTTGATTTTCAATAAAATTTTTTAAAAAAAAGCCGGTTCCATTGCTGTTTTAATGTATCGCATGCTAACTGAGAGCAATATCGATTTTTGCAAATTAAGGGCGGTAAGAGAACGTCGAAGAAACTGAGTCCTGCAGGGGTATTCGGGTACTTTGCTATGTATAATAATTGCGTGGAAGTGTTCTACCATGTCATCGGGCAGCTGCGAATTTCCCGATGGCTGTTTTGGGGGAACCAGCAGTCTGTTTGTTTCGCTGGCCTGCTTTTTGCACTGTTCGGTAAGGGATGGGTCCGATGTGGGTCTGTGGCAATTGTGGTTGAAAGTCTTGGTCAGGGGGGATGGAAAACAAAGTTTCGGACAACATAAAGTTGGTTAGTTCGGGATATATTGCTGAAGAAGGTGGTGGAATCTATTCTGTGTTGGATTTATGAAAACTGTGGTTTTCCCCACTGAACATTGTGTACTGAATGAAGTGTCTTTTTTCTAGCTTGGGAGCTAGTTTCGCTGAGTTGAATTCTCAATGTGCCCTTAAAAAAGCAGTATGCCACCGAAAAAGAAAGGTAGCGATGCGGATGAACGGCCACCGCTTATGGGTCGAATTGGGACCAATTTAAAGGTTTCTTTTTCTCGTAGTCTTGTTTTTTGCTATGCAAAATCGGCTGAGTACGTCGATGTTTGTTGTTCTGAAGATCCTCCTTCAGCTTCCACATAGTACATCTGTGAAAACAAAAGAGCATCCATCGTTTTCGGTTTCATTTCTTTTCATCCTTCTTCCTCCAAAGGCAATTTCGTAGCAACGGGAAGTTCGATCGTCACAATCGAGGTCAAGAGTACCCAAGAAGATGTCGGTAGGGCAATTATAACTGAACCCGACTTCGCCAACGTTTCTTCATTCTTCTACAGCTCCGATCAAGGTCGTTTTTCCATCCTT